GTGCTGCGTCACTCCAGCCACGCCCACCACCACTGGCCTGCGCCAATAGGAGCCGAGGAGCGCGGGGAGGGGTCTGTGAGAGAGAGAGAGAGAGAGAGAGAGAGATTTCATGGCGCATGCGCGCTAGAGCCCTCTAGTGGGCCTGACTTGGTCACCGTGTTGGGTTCAGCCCCAGCTAGGCGCTGGGGGTTTGATTCCTGTCGTAGTCAGACCAGCCCGGAACAAACCTGTCAGTGTTATGAGGTGACAGAGCCGAGGAGCGCGGGGAGGGGTCTGTGAGAGAGAGAGAGAGAGAGAGAGAGAGATTTCATGGCGCATGCGCGCTAGAGCCCTCTAGTGGGCCTGACTTGGTCACCGTGTTGGGTTCAGCCCCAGCTAGGCGCTGGGGGTTTGATTCCTGTCGTAGTCAGACCAGCCCGGAACAAACCTGTCAGTGTTATGAGGTGACACAGCCGTGATGCCTCATGACCCAGCTCCATGGGGGCTGCGGCGCTCAGCAAAGCAGTGTTGATCACTTGCTCTATCCGGTGTTTCTCTTACAGCCCAACCCCCTGGAATCATTTTGCCACTGGAAAAAAATTGAAAAAAATAATTAGTTGCCATGAAAGTTCAAAAACCTGACCTGGATGTTCCTGAAAAAGCCCCACACCAGAAGACAAATAAAGTATCTGACATTACAGTAGAGTCCAGATTATCCGACCTTTGGTAATCTGACACTCCGCTTTATCCGACCCTGCAGCTCCCAGGGACAAAGCGGTGCTGGCAGGGGCAGCTCCAGAGCGTGGGCTGGGAGAATGGCCCCGCTCGCTGCCCCGTCACTCTCCTGGAGCCGCTGATGCTGCTCCTGCCGACAGCTGCTTCATCCCCTCCCTGTAGCACCTGGGGACGAAGCAGCGCTGGCAGGAGCGGCATCAGCGGCTCCCGGGCGCGGGGCGGGGGAATGGCCCCACTTGCTGCCCTGTCGCTCTCCTGGAGCCGCTGATGCTGCTCCTGCCGACAGCTGCTTCATCCCCTCCCTGTAGCACCTGGGGACGAAGCAGCGCTGGCAGGAGCGGCATCAGCGGCTCCCGGGCGCGGGGCGGGGGAATGGCCCCACTTGCTGCCCTGTCGCTCTCCTGGAGCCGCTGATGCTGCTCCTGCCGACAGCTGCTTCATCCCCTCCCTGTAGCACCTGGGGACGAAGCAGCGCTGGCAGGAGCGGCATCAGCGGCTCCCGGGCGCGGGGCGGGGGAATGGCCCCACTTGCTGCCCTGTCGCTCTCCTGGAGCCGCTGATGCTGCTCCTGCCGACAGCTGCTTCATCCCCTCCCTGTAGCACCTGGGGACGAAGCAGCGCTAGCAGGAGCGGCATCAGTGGCTCCAGGAGAGCAACAGGGCAGCGAGCGGAGTCGGGCGCTCGGGAACTGCAGGGAGAGAAGGGGCCAAGGCCAGGGCCAGGAAGGGATGGGGCCAGGATATATACAGTAGAGTCGCTATCATCCGACATATTCGGTAATCCGACCACATGTTGGTCCTGTTTAGGTCGGATAATTGGGACTCTACTGTATTTTGTCAAATCTCATCAGTATTTTTCAGTGCGTTGGATTGGCAATATCGGTTTGCATGGGTGGAGGGAGCATTTCAGACACGTGTTAGTATGGAAGAATATAAGAAATGAAAAACAGAGAGCCTTAAGGTGGCAAGAGACTGGGCAAGATGAAGCATATGTGGATTATTAACAACTCTTAGGAGTACAGAGGGCTGCTATATTTTTATGGTGAGAGCTACAGTTCTAAAATATCTTTACTGGTTGATGGTTTTACCCAGGAAAGCTTATGCCTTGATAAATCTGTTAGAATCTAAGGTGCCACAGAACTCCTCATTGTTCTGATAATTAAAGAAGTACTTCAGGGATACAATAATTAGATTTGTTACCTCCTGACTCTTGCCTTATCTTTTGATACCTTCAGGCATTCTTCATCTAGCTTGTTTGGGAGCATTCTCAAATACTGTGTCCATTTATACAATGACCAAGAAATGTGTTAGGGTTTGTTTGTTTTTTTTTTTCATTTTCTTTCTGGGTGTCCAGTTTTAAAACAGCTTTTTCTAGCCATATATTTATTCTGGTTTGCAGAATTACTGGAAAAATAGCAATATTCAGTTACATACTGAATTTTTTTCATATCCATACTTTTGGGTTGTCTCTGTTTATTGAACATTTATATTGCCTCAAACCAAATAATGTTCTGACAAAATCTGGTTATTTTAACTCCTCTAATTAAATAAGAGCACAAGACATTGTGGCAGTTTTTTGAATTAATCTTTATGAAAGTTGTCAATCATTAAATACAGAAGAACGTATTATACGCAGATTTTTTTAGAAAGAAAAGGGTTTTATAATGAAGGAAGCAACTTGGACATTATAACACAATCATATTTAACGTAACTTCACAAAGAATCATAACAGTACTATTTTTAGTGTTGGTTGTCCAAACAAAGGTTTCACTTTACTCTCTCCATGTACTGTACTTCATTTTTTAAAAAAGATTGTGGGCTTGCTATTTCTTTCTTAGCTATCCTGAAATTCTGTAAAATATAATTTGTACTTGTGGACTGGATCACAGAAATGCAGTTAATTTTTTTTACGCTTCTGTCATCTTTATTTCAAATAACTTTTTTTCTGCAGGACTTCCTAAGATCATAAACAAGTATACAATCATAAACAAGTATACAATTGGAATAATATTTTTAATTTTTTTTATCATAACATGTATGTGTACCACTGCTCTCTGTGGATGGAATATGAGATGTTCTTGTTTGTGTAATCATCATAATCAAACACACATACTGTACCGAGGACGGTTTCACTGACCAGACAGAGTGGCTTGGTTGATGGCATTGCATCAGACATCATGTAGTGAAGTACTCAGATCTGACTCAATCTTACAAATCCATAAATCTCTGAAGAAGGCTCAGAAGTGTCCCTAAAGAGCATGAGAATACAGCATAAGAGGGCATTTTGTCCATCTAGGCGACATGGCTGATGAGCATGCAACATCAATTTTTAATAAAATGAGTGATTGAAGAAAGGACAGATTTCTGCCTGATGTGACATTTCAGTCAAAGTCAAACCAGTTTATACTTAGTATTTAATACTGACAGTACACATGGAATGCCTCTAGTAGCTCTGAGTCTGCCTGGAAATTATGTGTGCAAGAGAGATTATGATGCTATCTAATGGTACAATTTACAAACTACTTATTGAACTCTAAAAGTGTTCCACCAACTAAGTATGAATGTCTAAGTGTTGCAGATCCTGTCATTCTCCAATCTCTGAAGCCCAGTGATAAGCATCTAAAAGTTTATGTGGGATAAAGACAAATTTGGGTCTTACACAGGATTGTCAATTTCAACAATCATAGTTAGATGTAGTATGTTCAACAAAAATTAGCCTTTTTTGGAACAATGTCCTTACAGTATTTTGTTGTCATATAGAAAATACATCTCCACAGCATAATATTTTCCTAGATGCACAAGTGATATGAGGCTGAGTAAGCTAAATTTGTGGGGTAGGACTGACAATGACTTTGATAGGTGTCAGTTCTCTTCAAGCAATCCCACTTGTGGAGTTCCCAGGTCACATAAATAATGTGTTGAGCCTGTTACATTTGGGATTGTTATTTAAAGCTGCTTCTCAGAGCTAGGGATGTAAAATCCTGTTTAATTTGTTAACTGATTAAAAACTGATTACATGGCAGGTAGGTGGGGGCCCACTCCAGCCTGGCTTGCTGTGGACCGAGGGCTGCAGCAGCACCTACCTGCAGGCTGGGAGTTGCTCCAACCCCCACCGTTTAAACAGAATCAGTAAGCATCACCTATTAAACCATCTTGTTAGTCTTTAAAGTGCTACACAGTCCTGTTTTTTGTTTCAGCTACACCAGACTCACACGGCTACATTTCTACCATTAAGGGTGATACTTATGAGTTAACTGGTTAACCTGTCACATCCTTACTCGGAACGCTGCTTTTCTATTCATTTTGTACACAACATCTTTCACGAAGTTGCTGCTTTATAAACAATAATAGCGAGCAACTGTGTATTAGATGCAATGTTTTTTCTGCTGCACTCTGGTGAGCTATTTGCTGGGTTAAGACTCTTATTGCCACGGCCAGGACAATGTTTTTTAGGGAGGCACGTTTCAGTTCAGTGGAAGAGCTCGTTTTGGTGAGGCGGAGCTGGGCAGGAGCGCGGATTGTTTGGTTTTGGATTCTGGGATAAAGATGTGGACTATTGGAAATATGAACGAGACAGAAGGACGTGGGGGCAGATGATGCCCACCCAGCTTCACCGAGGGCAGTGGGGGCAGGGCGACGCAGGGCAAGGCGATCCCAGCCCAGTCCCGCTGGGGCCGTGCGCTCGGATTGGCGGGCTCAGCGTCTCCGTCTGCTGGGCCGGCGGGAGGGAGCCTGAGTCACGTGCTGAGCGGGGCTGACGCGGCTCTAGCTGGGCCGGGGCAGCGAGCGAGGCTGACGCCAAACCCCGACCCCGTCTGCTCGCCGCCATGACAGGTAGCGAGGCGGAAGTCACCCGCTGGGCTGAGGAAAGGGGTTTGCGATCGCCGTCGCGTGGAGGTCACGCGACGCCAAGTGTCGTTCCGGTGCCTGCGTGACGTGACCACGCGAACGTGACCTGATGCCCTTTCGCTCCCCTCCCCCCCCGTCCATCATGGCGGCCTTTGTAATTTAGGGCAGCT